ACAAAACATAACATTAACCATGAAGCATTTTAAAGTGTACAATCCAACAGCATTTAGTACATTCACGATGCTGTGCAGTCATCTTGTCTATTGAGTTCCAAGACATTCCTGTTACCCCCAAAGAAACCCTGCACCCAGAGTAGTTGGGATCATCTGGATCTCCTACTTACATTTACTCTGTAATTTCTCTTTGGAAAGAAATGAAAGAATCTGAATTTAAAAGACAGCATAAGGATTCCATCTGCTTTTATTTCTTCTGGAACTTATTTGTTTCCCAAAAAAATCCAGCAGAGGTTCAAACCTGAAAGGAGGCTAGTCTTGACAAGATGAATCCAGGAATGAGAGTCCGAGAAGGAAGGAACCCCAGAAGGCGACTGAGAAGAATATCAGAAAAACTCACAATTCTATCCGAGACCTATACTTTTCAGAAACCCAGATCCTATCTCCATAACTGACAGTATTTGATCTTTTTTTTGCGAAGAAAAAAAGAATTGAAAGAGAATTCCTTGTACCTGCCAACTAGAACAGTTTGGAAGATAGGAAACAAGTAAATACATTATTAAAAAAAAAAAAAAAAAAAAAGACCACCAGCTCATAAAAGTCAAAGCCTATTCTGGGGAAGCTAATGTATTCCTCTTTCAAGAATACTTATAGTCCTCTTTGTCCCAGTGGCTTAGAGAATAAAAATCTCCAAATAAAGGTCACAGAAATGTACGAAATGAGGGCTTTCAGTATTTCATATTTTCAGGCTGGCTGTGTTACAGGTGAGGACAAGGAGGGTATTAGGGAAACAGGGAAGAAGGGGCTACTTAACTTACATCAGGGTAAGAAGCTCACCCTCTACCACTGGGAGTCAGGAAGTACGAAGTTCTTAGAGCTGGATAAGACTCCATCCTAATCCCTTCCCCTAGGGCATTCAAGATAGTCTTCCTAATACTTTTTATCTATTTCTGAATATTCCATGCTGTCTCTTAGGGGGGAATAGTTCTCTTTTGTTATACAAAAGGCAGGATTCAAGCTAAGAGAGCTCCATGGGGCTTGGGCAAACTTGGGTTTTATAATTTCCATACATGCTCACATGCTGAAAAAGATTCAATCATACCCTATGGTCACCTCAATAAGAAAGCTACCAAAGCTGCGGTCATCACAGGCATCACGTAGGAGTGTGTGGATAACACTGGAGAGTGAAAGGGCGGGCTGTGAAATCCAACACTCCATAAATATTGCTGGTTCTTCTAAGTTGATTTTAGACAAACATGTATATGTGGATACAGATTTTCCAAGGGTTAGGTTCACCCTTATCTTCAACCCAAACCCTGGGGGTTATTGTCATTATTTAATCTCTATCTTCATAATTCATCAGTATAACAGTCCCTTTCCATTGGAGCTGCTTTTAGATATCTAGGAGACCAAGGGTCCCAAATTGCCCGGAACTCCAGCAGTTTTAGTACTGAAGTTCCTAGATGCCAGAAAACTCCTTAGTTTTGGACAAATCAGGACGGTTTGTGACTCTACTGCTAGCCTGAAGTTTGGCACTCAGATCTGCATTACTGAAGTGTCTAAAAAGTGGACAGAAGGGGGACTTGACGCAAAAATAGCTGCAAAATTCAAAATCTCCATCAAAAATTGCTGGCTATATTCTACTCCAGAGATGGTTTTTAAAAAAATAACCCAATGATCCATTTCACTCTCTAGGCAAGCAAGCAGTGGTTGCTTACTTTGTGGGGATGACCTATCTAATGGATGTCAGAAATTAAACCATACTTAGAAATTAGCTATAATAAATGCCACTACAGTAAGGTTCTAAAATATTATGCTGTTTTCCCCCCAATTTCCACATTTTAGAGCCTAATAAATAAAGCATAATGCGATAGGCAGCCATAATGGCATAAAATAAAAATCTCACATTTCTTTGGTGCTATTTGAAGACCTGGGAACCTGCACATTGTAGGCAAACTCTCCAGAGTTGGAGAAATGCCAAAAGCAGCACACTCTCCAGAGGCCACACCCATAGTATCAGAAAGTCTGGCCAAGAAAGGAGCCCTTGGACTTCAACCTGTCCCCTTGATCCAATGCCAAATACTCCAAGACAACGAAAAGCCTTCAGTGCCTGTATCTACAAAACAGGATTTGCAGAGTCAAGACAAGAACTTGTTTCATCAACTTGGGAACCCTGACCCTTCTCAACACTATACAATGAAATATGAGGTAATCCTATCTCTGCTACCCGAGGCACACAACCTTTCTGAACAATTCATCTCTTTTACTTTGTAGTAGGCAGCATAAAACCCCCCAAATAGGTCCATGTCCTCATCCCTGGAACCTGTGAATATATAACCTTACACAGAAAAAGGGACTTTGAGTGTGTGATTAAATTAAGCACTTTGGTATGCGGAGGGTATCTTGGATTATCTAGGTGTGCCAAATCTTATTACATGAGTCCTTAAAGTCAAAGAACCTTTCCTGGTTGAGCTTAGAGTTAAGAGGTATGACTATGGAAGAAAGAAACACAGAGATGTAATGCTATTGGCTCTGGCAATGGAGGAAGGGGGACTCTAGAATTCTCCCCTAGACCCTCCAGAAAGGAACACAGCTCTGTCAATACTTTGCCTTTAGGCCAGTGAGATCCCTACAGAACCTAACCTGTAGGACTGTAAGATAACCTATTTGTATCTTTTTAAATCATGAAGTTTGTGATAATTTGTACAGCAGCAAACAAGAAATGAATACACCCTTCATCACTGCCGTTCAATTTGCATAATGCCTTAGCAGTATTTTGCTTTAAATCCCAGTATTTGACCATTTTTTACCTAGTGTTTAATTTGCTTCTCTGTACAGACAAAAAATAGATTTGGTGCTAGAGCAAATATACTCAAAATCCCTCCAAGAGTGCAAAACAATATTTCCTTTTACATGTCTATTTTGTTTAGTTTCTTTCTTTAGTTTGTTAGCACAGAGACCACTTACATAAGGAACTACTTTGCATAACTGAAACCAGTAATTTTGCAAGAAGCAAAAATGCTTGTAGGTAAGCGTGAAAACAACAAATAACCTCTTTAAAGGTGTATAAAGACACAGTAGTTCTCAATGTGTCCTTTGGGCGCCCTGGATGTCACAATGGCTGGAAGATACCACTGGCCTTCTGTGAGCCAAGGACAGGGATACCAAAGAATACAAGGAAGAACTGTCCCATTTCAACACACCAGCAACCCCCATTGAGAAACTCTGCTTGGATTGATTTGAAACATTTTAGGACATTCATCAGTATGAAAGATATCAACACCAACATCAGACAGGGAACATGAAATACTTATAAAACAGTCTTCATTATTAGTAATATTTGGTAGAACATAGGGATGTTTCAGCCCTTACCTGAAAGATAGTAAGTCCTTAACTCCAAAAGAACCTCATTAAGGGGTAGCAAAAGCTATACATGGTCTTATAAGCATACACACATATGCACACATGCCTTCCTTCTAGTAAGAACTAGACCAGAGAGTCTCAACCCTGACTACACATTATAATCACCTGGGGAGCTCTTAAAAACTGTAGATGTTCAGACCCATCCCCCAGAGATTCTGGTTCAACTGATCTGGGTAGGGTCTACATATCAATGTTTTTAAACACTTCCCTGGAGATTCTGATGCATTCAGGACGAAGAACCACTGCTCTCTACCCAACCATGAGCAGCCTACTGGACAAATTCACCTTTGTGGCCACTCCATAGATTTGTATCTGTTCCTCTCTTTCTGTATCTGTAGCTCTCCCAAAAGAGATGGCTGGGGGTTTTTCTAGATGTCCTCCACTCCTTCACTTCTCATCTTTAATAAGCAATTTCATCAGTTCTCCCATATTCAGCCCATCACTTCCAAACCCAAAGCATCTACTGGTCTCCTTTCCACTAGTCTTGCTTTACTTTTTCTCCTAAGAAGGTTCTGATTCAAGTAAATACTAAATACTTGTTGAATGAGTAAATGAATGAATGGCTAGCTTCAGTAAACTAAGTTAGGTTAAGAGAAGGTTTTATATTTTATTTGCATTTTGCTGTAGCCACTAAATAGTTAGGTAAATGAATAATTAACAAATATATGTATTTATATGGATGACTGAAACATTATGTTGTACACTAGAAACTGACACAACATTGTAAACTGACTATACTACAGTTCAAAAAAGTTTAAAATTCAGTGGTAAATTCAAACCACTGTCATATAATCCAATGCGGAAAGGACAGAAGCAGGTAGGGGTATAAGTGAAACAATACTGGTCATGAGTTGATAACTGTTTAAAGTGAGTGACAGGGATATGGAAGTTCATTAAATTATCCTCTCTATTTTGGTATATGCTTGGAATATATCAAAATGAAGTTACATTTTAAAATAGGGGTGGAAATCCACATCACTGACTAGAGGAAACTGTGTACCATGGTTGGGTAGAGCAAACACATTATCACCTGTCTCAGCCATACGGTGAACTTTCAAGTCTACAACCAGATTCATATAGCTCTAGCCATTTTCAAAAGCCAATTCAGCTTCTTCAAGAAGCCCAACTAATATCAAATTGACCTTTTAGTGTTATTGTTATTGCTGCTGGAATAGCCCTTTCAATGTCTACAATCAATCTGCTAACGACAGAGTTTATCCTTCTCTGCCCTAATCTGCTCTGACATCTGTCTTGTACCGCAAACAATCAATAATGTTTGGTGCTATAAGGATACATTCTGTTAAGGCAGTGACCTCAAAGGCTCTCCAAACTCAGGTTTTCAGAAGAACATGGGGGAAATCTGGGTGATAAATCTGATTTTAACTATCCTCAAGGAGAGCCTTTTTTTCCCCTTTAAATTTTAAAGTTATGTCATTATTGCTAAAGATTATGAATGTTTCCTTTTGATCCATTTCACATGTCAAACGCTTTCATCTATAGGATTACTTAAAATTTTTTTCCTCTTAACATTCTGGTTAGATTCAACATCCTAGAAAAAAATATTTCAGAATTCTTACCTCTTCAATTTCCAAAGCCGGAGGCTCACTGGCAGATCTGGCTGTTGAGAAAGCAGAGAAGAAAATGTATTTAAAAAAAAAAAAAAAAGGTGTGTGTGGGGGAAATAACATGATACACAAAAGCTGAAAAAGCAAATAAATGTTTCTGAAAACAGGGTTTGGTGGTGATGGCTGAGTAGCTCTAAGGGCAGAGGGGCTCGCAGGTTCACATTTCTGAGTCAAGAAACAGACATTTTTGTTAACTCTTTTTCTTTGAAGAAACAAGATTTGTGAAAACAGGAGTCCCTTCCTTTGTGTCTGTGTCCCCTAGCCAACAAGAAAAAATGACAACACAAAGTCGGCTTGGGAATGTGTTACAGCGGGCAGAGTTCTTGGTAACAGAGGCTGTGAACCGGTGAGTTGAGTATGAACAAGCCTTCCTCCTGACCTAACTCACCTAGCTCCCAGCAGGACCGAAGTAGCAGATGTGCTCTTGTTCCAGGTGTTAGGGAAAGAGCTGGAGTTCCACTTGTGTGCATGTAGCCCTTTAAGAGGGTAAATGGCACAAGCTAATGATGAAAAAACATCTTTAGCGTACAAAGCTGGACACACCTATACCCCTAGCTGCTAATGACCTCTGAGGATGTGGAGTAGAGTTGGCCTGTTTTTGCCTAGCACGAGTGTGGTTCATATCTGAGAAAGTTCCAATGCAGAGAAGCTTCTTTTCTCCTGAAAAGATACCTAGCACCCAGCTCAAAGGGAATTGCCCAAGCCTCAGGGAGTGCTTTATCACTTCTATTTGTTGTATCTCAGAACTAAGATGTACCTGGCATTTAGAATATTAAGACTGAAGGTAGAAATCAAACTCACATTGGGTCCTAAGACCAAAAGAACACTGGTGTCTCTGGAGATCGCCCAGTGCTTAAGGCTGGCGCGGGCGCTGAAATCTCAACCAAACTGATTATGTTCCCAGATGACTATAAGGGACCATATGTTTTTAAATGAGACAACGTTATTAGAAAACCATTATCTCATGATTAATGACAGCAAAGGGGGAAAAAAAAACCAAGCCAAGGGCAAAAAACAACCTATTTTCAGAGAATAAACCCTAGGGATAACAATGATTAGTGGGACTTGCAAAATAAGCCTTGAAGGGTGCTCTGAGCCCAGAACTCTCATACATTACTGTGAGAGCACAAATCGGCCCAGCCTTTCTGGAATGTTCTCATCCATAGTGTTAGTGATGTCACTTCTTGACTTTACCCCCCAAGATGCAGAACATAGACAAGGAATTATTACCAATGTGTTAGAAGTAGTCTAAATATCAATAACACAACCTACTAAGTAAAACAGAAAAAGTCCACACAATGGCACTTTGAAACGATAAATACAAAAAAATTTAAATGATGAGGAAAAATACACACAGAATAAAGTTATGTGAAAAGAAAATACAAAATTATACACACAGTAGGATCTCAGCTAATTTCCTAATATCTATATATTTAGATTTATGATATTCTTCCAGTATACTTTCTGTAATATTTCATGTCATGTTCTTCAAATATATCACATAATATTTTCTGCTAAATGCTATACATAATATCTTCCTGGTATACACTTTTCTAGGAAAAAAGACTGGAAGAAGATACCTCAAAATGTAAAAAGTGTATTATTCCTTTTGTACAGAAAGTGGAAGTAACAGAAATGGCTAGATATGCTCCAATGTCTGCTTTTCTTCTTCTTCTTCCATGCTTGTAATAGAATTCTAAGCTAGGCACATACAAGTCAAGGAAAACTGCTTTTCCCAGCCTCCCTTGTCACTAGGTGTGTGGCCATGTGACAGAGTTCAAGGGGTGGCTGCAAAAGTGATTGGGGCAACTTCTGGGTCATGCCCTCCCCTTTTCAACTTCCTCCCCTGCTGCTAATTACTCATGGCAAAAATCCACCTTAGGCCATAAAGCAAGGGAAACATGCTAGGAATGATGGAATAACAAGATAGAAGGAGCCTGGGTCCCTGGATGATCTTGTGGAGGAGAGCTAGTTTATCAGCCCTGGACCACCCGTCTCTGTACTGTTACATGAAAGAGAAATAACTTCTAACTTCTGTCACTCCTGTGAAATCAGGTCTCAGTTACATGCAGTTCAACCAACAACCTAATTAATGGAAGGGGTCACTCTTAGTTTTTCTCTACACTAAGTATTTTGCAAATTTTCAATGATCACCATGAATGACTTTCATCATCAGAAACTGAAGTTAAGCACCGTTTACTGATCTTAAAAAAAATTAAGACAGCTTAGAGTGAAGTTTGGGTAACATGAGCCTTCTTCCCACATATGAGAGGAAAAGTGAAATCTACAGTTTTGAGTAGGAATTACACCATATGTCAGGATACAGATCACACAAAACTCCCTGTGTTTGCATGACCATTTAATCTCACCCCACAGCACTTTATTTCTCACCTTTTGAAAAATATTTTTAATAAGGAAAAGTTGTATAACTTTTCCTATAAAATCTGCAATAGGAATACTCTTAAAAAAAAAACCCCATAAACTCTAGTCAATGTATTATAATTATCCATTTAAGAGAATACCTAGACTTCTTAAATTTTAAAAGTCTTAAAAACCAGTTTTGTATATGCACTAACTCATACCTTTAATTTAAGGGTGTTGTTTGTTCTCCATATAGAATCAAAATGAATCACTCCTCAGTAATCCCATTGGCTTAATAACTCTGTTGACTGTCCATCAGCCAAGTGTAGGCTTTGATTTACCTTCCCCTGGAGTGGTGACAGATTTGGCAAAGCTCACATAACCTCCCTGGTCTCCTCTGTGACCCATGGCCCTGTATTATAAGATAACTGTCCAGGATAAAGGGGTCCTGTCTACTCCATAAAACAGAGAAAAGAGACTTGGTCTACTTGGGGATCAGATCTGAAACAAGAGCCTCACAAAAACCTTACTGGAATAATGCACTGAGGGTCCTTCAAATCTGTAGTAATGTTATGCCAGTGCCAGTTGGCACCTTTCAGAGGCTCATTAAAGCCCTGTGCACCTGCACACAAGACACTTCCCAGGTAGAGACTTTGGAGACTTATATGCAATTATTTATCAGATAAAGGACCTATTTTCCCCCCTCTTTCCCAAAAGAATGCCAAATGGTCCTCTTCTCCCCTGTGACTCACAACACCCAATATTAACATGGTTAACTTACATTCAGTAACAAGGGGAGGATGCCAGAGTTTCTTCTCTTCCCTCTCAGAATGACTGTGCCAGTGTGTTCTCAAGAAACCCCTAAACTCTCTCACACAATAGTCAAATTGAAGCTGACAGTCATCGCTCTGAATTCTCAGTTTCTCTCCCCCTCTTCCCTTTACAGGAACATAAGCAACCCAACTCCACAGGCCTGATTACCATGGTAACAACATGCACTGTGATTAAGAGTGTGTTTGTTTTTTCGAAAATGACTCACAGATTGTTCCCCCAGAAGCCCCAGACACACAGGTTTCTGGCTGGTTTAGAAAATCATCCAAAGTTTTCTTGCAAGTTTCTTACTTCTATTAGCAAGACTGGTGGGATGGAGAGTCATCAAATCAAATATGCTCTTCTCCTTAAGGTTGAAAAAAAACCCCACTTGGTTCCTTAAACACTCCAAGATTAATCAATTTAAAATTCAGGTTACTAATGAAATTAATTTGAGTTTGTACACTGGAGATAATTAATCTGTTCCTAATTTAAATAATTAAAGTATTTCATAATGTAGTTTTAGAGACCCAAATGAAATAATCAGGTGAAATAAAATCAGTAAAAATATCAAATACAATAGCCTAAGTCTGTGCATATTTGTTCCATCACATATACAGTGTTATAAAAGAATAAATGTTAAGTATTAATACCAAGATGTTTTTGAAATAACATCTAAAATGAAGGGATTTATTTTTAAAAGGAAATGTGAAAGAGTCCAGATATTTGGCAGAATTGTGGACTTACTCCCATCTGTTTATCCAGACATATTATTTAAGATCTTCAGTGTACTAAGCACCATTGTTTATAACTGAACATTGCAATAGTGCTCAGGGAAGACTATTTTCTTACTGGAGACAAAAGCCATGGGCATGGCCTAGTCCATCATCTTCTCTCAGATGCTTTGGGTCTCAAGACACCATTCTGGGTAAGTGCTCAGTGAGAGTGACCATGACGTAATGATCACATCAGGCCAAGAATTCACAATCCTGACTTGAGCATCACATTGACTCTCTTCAAAAAAATAGACACTGGTAGTTTTGGTATGTTGATTTCCCTCTGTATGAAACTGAAACAAACCTTATTTTAAAAGAAATTTAAATTATACATTTTAATATAAATCTCTTTAACTTAAAACTGTCTTCTGACGCTTACTTATAATACAACATATAATAAGCACATGCACACACACACACACACAATGACATATAGTCATTAAAAATTACTATCTCCAAATTGCTACACATGTTCTGTGCTGTTACCAATAATATTTTCTCTCTAGAGTCTGATGGGATAACTAGAGTGTATTAATCAGGATAGGTGAGGTTTTACTGTGGTAACAAAACACACCCCTCCTAATCTTTTAAGACAGAAAAGTTCATTCCTCACTCTCACTACGTGTCCACTGCAGGTCAGTGGAGAGACCATCTCTGTGTTGTCGTTACTCTAAGACCCAGGCTTAAGAGCTCAGCCACTGTTTCCACACTTCCATCACTGCCAATAGCCAAGGAATGCGCTCACATTCTGATGCTTATATGCTTCTTCCTGGAGGTGACAAACATCACTTTCGCTCACATTTCACTGGCCAATGCAAGACTTATAGCCACACCAAACTAAAGAAGACAGAGAAGTGCAAGCCTATCCTGAGTTGGGAAGGAAAACAGGACATACTTATGACTAAGCACGTGCATTACTAAACAGTGCAAACTGAGACTGTCACTTAATGAAGTCAAAACACTGACAACTGATAAACGTTTTATATACGTTATGTAATTATCTCCTGACAATTTTGTGAAGTAGGTATTGTCATTATTTCCCAATT